CCCTGGGCGCAGCGCCAGCGCGACCCCGGCAAGGTCTAGCCCGGGCAGCGCCGCCAGCGCGGCGGCCAGGTCGCGGTACAGCTGCAGGACGGCGGCCGGGCCGCGCGCCGCGCGCACGGCCGCCGCCACGGAGGCGGACACGCCGCGCGTCAGGCGCAGCGCGCCGCGCAGCGCCGCAGCCTGGTCTGCGGGGCCGCCGGCCGCGCCCGCTGCAGCGCGGTGCAGCGCCTCCGCCGCCGCCGGCAGGAAATCACGGAGGCGGCGGGGGGCGAGTGGGGGCGCGCCCGCGCCGCCGGCGAGCGCGCCTGCGCAGGGGACGCCGCAGGCATGCAGCAGCCGGCCCAGGGCCCGACGTGTGTCTGGGTGGTGACCAGGTCCGCCACCCGGAGCCTGCTCAGGTCCGTGGCAGGGTGGCACGGACTGGTGAGAGTCGAGGCTGGGAACGGAGGGCGCAGCACTCGACAAGACATCCAAGAAGGGTGCAACAATGGTGTGGGGGGCAGAGCAAGCCGCCGGCGATCTTCAGAGGAGCAGGCAGCCAAGCCCGCGGCTCCCGTGTGCTGGCTGCTTGATACACACGAGAATTCATGCAACACCTCACGAGGCGCACACCGGTGGAGGGAGGTTTACGGTCACCCTCTTGAGGCCGGGGATCGAATGGGGCGTGGCAACCGGCGGGCTCGGCGCCTCCGCCGCTTCCCCGTCCTTGAGGTAGAAGATGAATCGGTATGGCACAGCAGGCTGCTGCTCCTGGTGGGCATGGGTCTTTGTTGCCTGGAGGTACTCCTGGAGCAGCTTGAAGCTGCGCTCGTTGGCAGCCTGGAGAGTGTGTCGATGCCATTGTGACGAACCTTCTTACGAGGTACAACACCAGAGCGACAATCAACTAGCCAAGGTGTCCTCTCCAAGCCACCAATGCCTCACCCTGGCCTCTGGGTGTCGGTGGAAGAAGTCGGGGTGCACCAGGCGATACAGGTCTCGCAGCGCCGACTTGAGCACGTCAGGGCCATGCTCGGTCGATGCGCATCGGACAAATCCCAGGCGGGGCAGGGCAGACGCCAGGATGCCCTTGCAGAACAAGTACAGCATGGAGGGAAGGCCCCCGGCCTTGCTGGCCGAGGACATTCATACCCTCATCGCATGCTGTCAATGTATCGGGGTGCACAATGGATATAAAGATCTTATGCGGAGGCCAGATCGATGGAGGAGCAGGGAACCTATAGACGCTTTGCAAGTGCCCACCGACGCGCCATCAGCCGGCGGATCCGATCTTGCGGGCCCTCCCTTCCCGGGTCCCGGAATGCCATAGGGCCTACATATACAATGGAGTCCTTGCAAGGCGTGCAAATGCAGCCAGATGTATTGCATACATAGCACGGCAGATTCTCTCCCATGCTCAGCACATCAGCGTCTTGTGAACGCCACGCTGCGGGCGAATAACAAGGGTCCTCAGCCTTTCCCTCGTCACCGCTAGGCCGGGTGTGCCAGGAGCGAGGGACAGCGCGGCTTCCACATCTTGCAAGGCCTGGGGCAGACACTCCCCCTCTTCCCGCAGGCTTGCTCGCAGGAGCAGCGCCCTGGTGACCACGTTGGTGTTTGAATGAACGCCCTCGCCATCGATAACTTGGCTGCAGTCCGCCACGGCCCCCGCCGCGTCGCCCAAGCAGGTGCGCCAGCGAGCCCGATCCAACAGCAGATCTGCACCTGCAGAGGACGCCAGGAAGGGTGCCGCGCTCAGCGCCAGGCTCGCGGCGCGTACCGCGCCGACATACTCGCCCGCGCTGGCAGCGCGCTCTGCCTCGGCGGCCGCCGCCTCCGGGAGGAGGTCGGCGTGCGGCCCCGAAACCGACGCCGCACCCCCGCCGTGTGTTGGATCCTCTATGCCAGGCAAACCAGCAGGCTCAGGCCCAGGCCTTGTGGCGGGCAGGGCCGCCTGGACGTCGTAGGGCCTGCCTCGCCTCCTCGCGGCGAGCAAGGCGCGTCTGTGCAGTGTGGGTGGGTGAGACCAGCCGGGTGGCAGGGCGGCTCCAACGAAAGCATGGCCAAGAGCCTGCTCCATGGCATGCTTGATAGGGCATGTGCTCCATCAGCCCAAGAAAGCCCCCCCACACTGGAGAACTCTTCCACACAAGGCTGCTGTGCTGACCTGGTGGCGTCCAGGTCCGGTGCTGCCGCCGGAGCAGCTGGGGCACGTGCGCCATCTCCACCAGCGTCCTCCTTCTGAGCCGCCAGCCGCTGCCACTGCATGCCCTCCTGCTCCTTGTGCAGATGCAGGAGCAGGGTGCCACCGGGGAGGTGCCCCTTCCAAGCCCAGACGCCAGAGACCGATGGCACAGCTGCCTGCTCGCCATGATCCTCACCACAGGCCACAATGACCCGGCAGGCCTCGGGCGTGACGGCATGGCAGAGGGCGGGGATGTGCAGCCGTAGCTGCGGCCCTCTCTGGGGTCGGGCTTCCAGCATGAGACTGCCACGCGTCACCTCGCAGGTTACGTCCCAGGGCCCATTCTGTGGCAGCTCGACACTGATATCCACGCTCTCCGCTGCGTCCTGCCACCTGTACCTGTCCAGGGCCCTTATAGGGCTGCCTGCATGCTGTTCAGATTGGGGAGGGGTCACCTGCAGGAGCTTCGGCCCGTGCTCCGCGCCCTGGGTCAAGCGCAGGGCGCCGGGGTTCGAGACGGGCTCCCGCGGCGGCTGGAGGTGGGCCTGGACGAGGTCGATGGCCGCCTGGGTCATGTGGTTGCCCACGAAGTTGGTGGTGGGGCCCACCTTGACACGCTCATACCCCAGCGCCCACTGTGGTGGTGGTGGGGAGGGGACAAGGTACTGGGGACGGCGGCAGGGAGGGACCTGGAAGCGCGCCCCGTAGTGGTGTGCACAGAGAGTTCTCAGCACCTCCCTCCTCCCGTGACTTGTGCAAGCACTGGCGTCCAAATCCCAAGAGACCGTCCCAGGCATTGATGTCACGGTCCCCACTCACCTCCTTATCCTTGCCGTCCGGGGTTTGCAAGAGAGGGTCGTACCCTTTGCCGTCGTTGACCTGCGAGCAGGGAGGGGGGGCAAGCCAGGGGATGCCGAGGCGAACCAGTATGGCAAGCCCCTGCACAGAGGGATCACCCGAGACGACCATTACCTTTTTGTATGGTCCTCCATGAGCATCCTTGGTCCAGATTTGTCGATGACGGTGCACCTCGCGCTCCTCGCGCAGTCGGTCCAGTTGCGCATCTTTGACCACTGGCGGTGGGTTGGTGGCCACCAGCAGTCCCCTTTCCTGTGACATGATGTTTTCACAAGACGAATTTGTGTCCTGTGTCACTGCTAAACGGTGCGCAAGGTCCTTCAGGCTCGGTGATCGCTGCACTTGCCCGGCCCGAAGAGTGCCACGACCGCCGAATCCCATGCATGTTTCAAACTATGCACGGCGCCAAATCAAACACGGTTTGCTGCAACCCCACACCTTCCACATACTTGCTACAACAGCGGCAATCTCTTGAGCACGGCGCTGGAGGAGGGCATCTTTACGCGTGCATTTCAAAAGCATCGCAGGGGCTGGGTAGGGAGGGCAGGCCGTGCCGCTGAGAATCTCACAGGCCGCACTCCCTCCCTCGCCACAAAAATAGTACACCACCCTCCGGCCCCTGCCACCGCACGCAACTGCCAGACGTCCCGTGGGCGTGCTACCAACGGTGGCTGGGCTGTCAGTGAGGGCGAGGGGCGGCGCCGGAGGGAGACACAGGGGATTCGCTGTACAAAGGGATGCCAGTGAAAAGAGAGAAGAAGGCTCTGAAAAGGGGAATACCAGTGACATGCAGCAATGGTGCATCAGTCTCTACACAAAGGGACAAGGGGGAGCTGTTCAAGTGGTGTAAGGTAAGAGCGGGAGGGGGTGGTGGTATGACGTCGCCATTGCATCAAGGCGTCCATGCCGGTAATCGACAGCGAGGGGGTGGGGTTTGGGGGGTGGGGTTTGGGGGAGGGTGCGCGATGAGGGATGTTGGAGCCTGCAAGCTCCACAGCGCCTGCGGTGCTGCTGACAGGCCGCGCACTCCTCAGCACAGCGGCCCCGTCAGCCGCTGCAGGAAGGAGCTGAACGCGTCCCAGTTGTCCACCATCATGTCGCCCATCCTCAGGAAGGTGATTTTCTGGACGAGGGAATCGGGTGAGGTGTCAAGCTTTGAACATGGAGTGGTGGCTGATGTGACATGGAGGGTTCTCCCCTCAGCACCCTGCTTCACCCCTGGGTCCATCACTCCCCCCCCCCCCCCCCTCCCCACCACACCTCCAGCCTGCCGGCGAGCACGCTCCTGCCCACTGCTGACTCGGCGATCTTGTCAAAGGCGGCGCGGTCGTAGCGCTGCAGCGCATTCTCGCCGCCCAGGGGCACGCCCGCCCGCGCCGCGGCGGCCAGCACCTGGCCCAGCAGCCCCTCCGGCGAGCAGGCCGCCTCGGCGGGGTGCTCGCAGTCGCGCATCTCCACGCAGGTGAAGCTGGCGGCGGCGCCGTGCCGCGCCAGCACGCGCATGATACCCTCGTACCCATCGCGCTGGCGCGTGTTGTACACCCCGGCGGTCAGCTCGGCGGCGTGGGCGCGCGTGGTGTACCACCAGTGCACGCCAGCCAGCTTCACGCCCAGCGCGGCGGCAGGGCGGAAGCGCAGCAGCGTCGACGCGCTGGCGTCCAAGGGCGTGGTCGTCTGGTGGGAGGCCGAGGTCGCTGGGTGGGAGGCCGGCGGTGGCGCGTCCGCGGGGTGCGGCGGCCCTCCCCTGTGGCCGGTGGCGCCGGGCGCAGCACCGCCAACCCCGCCGCTACCCCCGCCACGGCTCGCCAGCACGCGGGGCCAGCCCGGGCCAGAGAGCGCGGCGCGCACCGCGCCCAGCACGCGGTCGGCGTGCTCCACCAGCAGTCCACTGTACCAGCCCAGGAAGAAGCGGCCGTACTCGGTGTCCCAACGGCCGTGGACGTCATGGAAGAACCCCGTCTCGTGCGCGCGCGAGTTGTAGGCGCCGGCGTCGTGCGGCGCGCCGCGCCCCCACTCGGGCCGCCCCGCGCGCGCGGCGGCGGCCGCCAGGCTCGCCAGCATGTAGGCGTCGTGGCATTGGAACTCGCCCACGCCGGGGAAGCGCCAGCGCCCGTCGCCCTCGGGGTAGGAGGGGTAGCGCAGCTCGCCCGCGGGGCCCAGGCCCAGCGTGATTTCGGTGATGCCCGACCCCAGCAGGTCGCGGAACTCGGCCGCAAAGGCGGCGGCAAAGTCGCGGTAGGCGGCCACGGGCGTGCGCCCGGCCAGCACCGGCGCCTCGTCGCAACCTAAACTCAAGCACTCGCGGTTACGCGCGCCGTGCGCGTCTGTGTAGAAGATGTCAGGGTCGGCCTCGCCCGCCTTCACCACCCAGCGCGGCAGCGGGATGGTGCAGGTGTCGCCCACATTGCCGCCCGCGGCGTGGAAGCTCATGACCGCCTGGATGCGCAAGCCCTTGGCCGCCACCGCGTCAAACAGGCGGCGGTACGCGCTCCAGTCGTAGCGCCGCGGCCCGGCGTGTTCCACGATGCCCCACCACACATCCACCATCACGCCCGACACGCCCGCCGCGCTCAGCATCTCCAGCCCCACCGCCATGGCCTTCTCCCGGATCAGCACAGGCTGGGCGCCGCCGTCACGCTCTAGCAGCCAGACCGTGTCCAGGGGGAGCATGACATAGACGGGGACGGGAGCGCGGCGCGGCGCCGCGGCCGCAGCGTCGCGGGAGGGCGCCGCCACGGAGCAGGAGCGCCCGGCGTACACGCGCCGCAGCAGGCTGCTCGAGAGCGATTGCAAAGGGAGATGGTCGTGGTGGAGGGTGATGAGAGGGGCGGGCAGAAGAAGTCCAGGAGCAGCAGTACAAAGACAGCCACGGCATCCGGTGGGACCCATCCTCTCGCCCCCCCAGACAAGATTTGTCCACTGCTACAAAACAAACCCCTGCCCCACCTCTGCAGCTCCGAGTCTGGCTTAGCAAAGGTGGACCGCAGGGTGGCAGGGGCGGGGGGGGAGGGGGGCTGTGTCACCTGGCCGGTTCACAGTCTCGGAGGCGACACTACAGCACGGCCCGACATCTCGCTGCCGCCTCTGGACCTGAGAGAAGTCGATGTATGTGCGTGTTAGCAGCGTGAGCGGGCGCCGAGGGGAAACCTGTTGGAGAGATTGGTCTGGCGAGAGTGTAAAATACCTGGGGTCGGAGGTTCCACGCAGCAGCCGAGCACCGGTTGCTAGGCCCTGCCGCGAGGTTGGACCCCAGCCGACAGTCCCACATATTATTTTGACGCTAAACGATGCACCATGAACGGCTCCGACACGGACTGCTCTGAAAAAGGCCGGGGCCCGCCGTGCTTGCGACGCGCTTGGTTTGAAAACGCAGGGGTGGTCAGCGACACGAAGCGACCCGATAATTCGGAGACTAATCGGCCAGAAAACGGCTCTTCTGTCCGCCACAGACGTGGATTCTTCATGTGTGGGATGCTTCTCGCGCTCCCCCTCACATCAATCTACTCTCGGTCTGTGGGCTCGCGAGAGCCACGTTTCCCGCGAAAATGGGCACGCTTACGTGGCAATCTGCACCCTCGCACCTCCTCTTTCCCCACCTCCTTGCGATACATGACGAGACACACCAGAGGCAAACACGATCGGTATATCCCCAGGGTGATTTTCGTCGCTGGTGCTGTCCCAGCCAGCGCCATGCAGGCCGTGTCTGGGCTGGGGTGCAGGCTCGCAGCAGCGGTGCGTGGCGTGGGTGCCGGTCTGGGCCCGTCGTCCCTCCTCGCCGCCGCTCGGCAGGGCGAAGCCGCCACCCAAGCCATCGGCCAAGCGCCCTGCCGTTCCATCGTGAGCGTCGATGTGCGTGGCAACAACGTCGACGCTGCCTGGAGGACCGTGACCCGGAGGGTGATGGACAACAAGATGAACGTGGAGTGGAAGCGGCAGGCGGTGTACACCAAGCCCACGGAGATGCGGAAGCTCGCCGCGGAGGAGACGGAGAAGCGGCTGAGGCGCCGGGCCTTCAAGGCCAAGCTGCGCTGGATCTTTCGCCGAAAAGCCAGGTGAGGCAGGGGGTGGAGGATGGGGAGGGTGCCTGCTTCGAATGTCTGATTCCCCAGGCACCTGCCTGTCTTCCTCGCGGAAGCTGCACTTGGTCCCCCATCTGGCGCCGTGGGCCAAGGATCTGCTCATGGACCCCTCTCCCACGTACAATGCACCGCAGAGGCTTTTGAGCGGGCGCCCCTCGTTGAACCATTCGCCCCAGGCTCGCTGTCGCACGTGTGTAACACCAAACAAGAAGCAAGAGGGGAGCAAGGGTCGGGGAGGGGGGTCGTGGGGACGGGGCTTGTCTTGGGGCCGCATTCCAACCACCCCCAGGGGTGTCGGAGACGACGCAGGGGCGCGCGGCCTACTCCTGCATGGCGTCGGGCGCGGGCGCCTCGGCGGCGCCGGCCTCCGCGCCGGCGCCTCGCGCC